CCCCGGAGCCCCGGGAGCGGAGCCCCACGCACCGCTCCAGCTGCAGCTCCTCGTCGTAGGGCGGCGGCGGGCGCGGCCCCGGCCGGGCGTTGGTCAGCGCCTCCCACACGGTCACCTGCGAGGAGCGGGGCTGGGCCGTGGCCTCGCGGTCGGCGCGGCCCCGCGGCGGGCGCGGGCTCGCGGGGAGCGCTCCCACCTGCTCGGTTTCGGTGCCGGCGTCCAGCAGGCTCTGCTGGATGGCGAACTGCAGGAGGTCGTCGTCTTCGTCCCGCAGCGGCTCGCTGCGCCCCGCGCCCAGCACCGTGTATCCCGGCGGCACCTCGAACACCGCCGGCTCCACCTCGCACGGGAACGGCCATCCTACGGCAGCACACCGCTGGGCACCCCCGGCACCGATCCGGGGGGATCCCCGTCTCTGCTCCCACCTACAACCCATCGCTGCCCTTCTGACGGGCTCAGCCCATCCCCATTCCCACCTCCATCCCCATTCGTGCCATCTAATTCCCATCCCCATCCCATCCCACCGCACCCCATCCCATCCCACCCCACCCCATCCCCATCCTACCCTCATCCTATCTCCATCCTCATCCTATCCGCACTGTGGCCCCACATCATCATCCCCCAAACCCCATCCCATCCCTCCCCTCCCCCACCTCCAGGCCCGGCTGCCCTGGCACCGGGGGGCTGAGTGGGGTTGCAGACCCGTACGGAGCCTAACGGTTGGTCACAGCCACAGAGGTTGCTGAAGGTGATGCGGGCGTTGAGGACATGGAACAGGGGGATCTCTGGGGGGAACGGCAGGTTAGCAGCCCCCCACTCAGTACAGCCCCATCCCCCCCACCGTCAGCCCCCACCCCTGCCCTCACCAATCTTGACAGGGAAGCCGGGGGGCAGCTTGAGGGTGATGAAGTCACGCAGCTTGGCAAAGTGCGCGTTGGAGATGGCCATCAGGTCGATGATGGGCGTCACCTGCTCGGCCAGCGACAGGGGGTGCTGCTCGCAGAGCCACAGCGTCGCCTTGAACCTGCACGGGCAGCGGTATGGGCACGGGCACGGTGCCGCTCCCCTGCTTCCCTCCAGTGCAGCGCCCACCTCTGCACCTTGCTGGACACCTCGATGGGGCGCCCGATGTTGCGTGCCTCCAGGTCGAAGTGAGGGTCGAAGTACTCCTCGAGGGTGATGGCTGTGGGATTGGTGGGGCTGGCGGCTGGGGGTGCGGGTGCCTGGGGGGAGGTACGGCCCCGCCCAGCTCAGCACGGCCCCACGCCGTCCCCCAGCCCTCCTGCCCGCTACTCACCCCATTGTGGGTGCCGTGCTGCTGTGCCAGGCCCAGGAAGGAGTGGAACGGGGTGCGGGAGCCTGTGGGGAAAGAAAGACCCGGTGTGGGTGGGCACGGGGCAACAGTGCCAGCCTGGTACCTGCCCCGGGCGGGCAGCGCAGTGATACCTTTAGTGCGGGACTTGTCCTGGTCTGAGAGGTGCTCCGTCCTCGTCTTGGTGACCAGCTCCACATTGCTGGCACTGTACACCTGCAGGACAGGACGAGATGGTCTGGGGAGGGGATGAGATGGAGATAGGGATTGGATGGGATGGGGATGAGATAGAAATAGGATGGGGGTGGAATATAGATGGGGATTGGGGCGGATACAGGATGGGAGTGGGATGGGGATGAGATAGGGTTTGGGAGGGAATGGGATGAGTTGGGATGAGAATGGAGGGGAGCGGGGATGGGAATGGGATTGAGATGAGGATGAGGAGAGGAAAGAGGATGGAATGGGGATGGGATTTGGATGGAATGGGGTCAACCCCACCCTGCCAGTGGCACCTTGGCTTCATAGCCGCTGACCACCTCCATCTTCTCCGAGCGCCATCCCCAGATCCCTGATTTGTTCCTGGGTGCGCAGCCAGAGGGCGGCATCAGCTCCGTGTCCAGCAGCCCTCCAGCCCCACCTGCCCCGTGGCACGCACCGCTCAAACGCAATGTTCCTGGTGTCCAGGTGCGTGGAGACGATGGGCGACGTCAGCCGCCCAGCCACATGCTCCTCTGAGGGCTGCATGGCTGCCAGCAGCAGGTCGGGTTCGTGCAGGGCCAGTGCCAGCGTCTCAGTGTACACCACCTGCTTGTCGTGGTCCACCTCCATCACCACCGCTCCCTCCTCTGCGTGAGGGGATGGAGTCAGCACTCGGCACTCTGCAGCACACGGGCAACCCCCGGCCTTGGGGAATGCTGTATTCCAGGGGTACCCCGGGCCTCTAGAGGTGATCTGGGATTTGTGTGGGTCCCTGGGTTTTTCTGGGGTGCCGGAGCCAAACCTTCTCCCTTGAAGATGTAGCTGCGGCGGCCCCGCTGCCACGTCATGTGCTCAAAGCCCAGCAGTGTGGTGTCGACCCGCAGGCTCTCACCCCGCTTCCAGACGCGGTACACGTCACTGGGGCACACCTTGGACACCAGGGGCACTGCGGGCAGCAGCACCCATCAGAGGCGTGACAGGGGGTGACCCCCACACAGGCCTCATCCCCATCCTCGCCCCAATCCTTGTTCCTGCTCACCCCAGCTGGTAAATTCCCACTTCATCTCCACGTAGAAGTCTGAGGCCTGAAGGAGACGAAGGGGTCACGAAGAGGGCTATGGTGCGGAGGTCCCTGCTGGGAGTCGAGGAGGCCTGTGGGGCCCCTTGGGGAGCTTGGGAAGGGGACTGAGGGAAAAAACAGGGAGTCCTGGGGGAAATGGGGCACCCGGGGTCTCTCCAGCTGCCTCTGCACCCCCTAATTCCCATGGAGGAACTCCAGTTCTGGATGTGTCCAGATCTGGGGGTGCTCCAGCGATGGGGCGCTCATGCTGGGCGCACCCAGTGATGGAGACGCCCAGTACTGGGGGTACCCGGTGCCACAGGTGCTCGGTGATGGAGGTGCCTGGTGCCAGGTGTGCCCATCCTGGGGTTATCCAGTGCTATGGGTGCCAGGCGTGCCCACCCACTGCCCCAACACCCAGCCATACCCGGCGCAGCTTGCTGAGCAGCTCGGGGATGCCAGCAAGCCGCCGCGTTGCCCGCTGGTAGTCACGGTACTGGAGCACCAGCTGCACAATCTCGGGGTCCCCCGTGCTCACTGCCTCCTGCAGCACTGCGGGGCAGGGAGCTGCCATCAGCCAGGCGCCGCCGCCATCCCTGCACCCCAAATCCCCCCACACACCTGTCCAGCCATTGGCGTTCTCCCGGCCCACATTGGCATTGTGCCGCAGCAGCACCCGCACCGACTCCAGGTGGCCCAGGGACACGGCCAGCTCCAGCGGGGTCCGCCCACGGGGGTCCGTCAACTCCACGTCGTGCTGGGGCACGCGCACCGTCACCCCGGCCACCCCCAGTCCGGTGCGAGCCGCGTGCCCCTGCTCTCCCACGCCCTCGTCCCCAGCCTCGAAGACCCCAACTCCAAGTCCTCCTGTCCCTCAGCGCCCCTACCTCTCCCCCGCACCACCTCCCAGTGTCCCCAGTTCCTCCCTCCGGTCTCCGCGCCCCCTGTTCTCCTCCTCGCTCTCCCCTTTCCCTGCACCCACTGCGCTGCCGCCCCAGCGCTCCAGAGACCCCGTTTCCCCCACCTCCCCAGTACTATCCGTCCTGCCGGCGCCCCCGGTTCCTCCCGGTCCCTGCACCGCTGCTGCCCGCATCCCCCGCCGTGCCGTGCCCGGTGCCGTGCCCGCACCCCCCCCGCACCCGGCGCGCACCGTGCCGGAGCGCAGCGCACTGTCCAGCGCCTGGTGCCGGTTGTGCCACACGAGGCGGTGCAGCAGGAAGGTGTCGGCGGCGCGGGCCATTCCCGCACCATGTCCCCGAGGCCCGGGCCGGACCGGGCCGGACAGCGCACGGGGGCCGACTGGCAGCTCCGCGCCTGCCCGCAATGGCTGCGCGCGGGGGCGGCGGTGGCGCGGCGCAGCGCAGCGCGGCGGCGCGGGGCGGAGCCGGCACCGGGTAACCCCCCCCCAACCCCCCCCACGGCACCGGCGATGCCCTCCCCGCTTCCCAGGCGGGTCCCGGTGCCCCTCGCGGACTTCGGAGCCTGGCTGTGGTTTTCCACATTTTTATTATAAAAAAAAAAAAAACTTTTTTTTTTTTTTCCCCTTATTTTTTCTTTTTCTTTTTTTTTAAGCATTCTCACGTTTCTGCTCATTCAACCCTCACTCGCAGCCGTGCCCTGCCCGCTGCTCCTCCCCCCGCTAATATTTACAGATGCTAGCGGGCACAGCTGGGAGAGCCGGGGGGCACAGCGCTCGGTGCCATGCGCTGGGGTGACGGGCACAGACTCTGCGTCCCCGCTTCTCCTCTCCAGCTGCCTCCTCCCTGCTCACCCGCTGGCTCGGGGGGTGCGGAGGGGGCCCATGGCACAGTATTTACAGGGTGCCCCCTGGGCACGCATGCACACCGTCATTCACACCGAGGACTTGGCACCCACAGACGGGCACAGCCGGGCTGGGGCACACGGGGCACAAGGAGCCGGTGGTGCCCCATTTGGCACGCACGGGTGGCGAAGGGGGCACTGGACTGGGAGCAGGACAGCAGATGGGAGGGGGGCACGGGACTGCCTTCATCTGAGCCGGATCAGGGAGCAGGGAGCAGTGCTGCATGTCCAGCGCCAGCTCTGCTTCGGGACAGTGATGCCATTGGCTGTGCCCTACCGTGGGCATGGGGATGGCACTGGCACCAGGCGTCCTCCTAGAGCTCTGCTCAGGGACACCGAGAAGGAGCGGGACCCAACCCAATAAATTAGAAGTAGGGTGGGAAGGGGGGGGGCAGGGCACAGGGTCAGAGCCCATTGGCAGAGCGCTGCAGGAAGGGCACTTTGCTGAGCTCCACCACAGGTGAGCGTGGCTTATTCTGCATGCGCGGCACCCGCTGCAGCAGCTGCTGGGCCTGGCGCTGGGCATCCCGCAATTCCTTCTGCCACTGCACCAGCTCGGGATCACTCTGTGGGGAAGCACGTGGCTCAGAGCAGAGCTCCCCCGAGTCACCCTCGTGCCACAGTGGCTTGGGGCGACCCTCCCAGGAGGGCCCACAGCACACTCACATCGCACTGCAGCACGAACTGCTTGCCGCCACGGATGCGGAGCAGGATGCACTTGCGCTCCTTCACTTGAGTCTCCTCCACTGAGTCAATCTCCTCCATGGTGAGCAGGGACTGCTGGAGGGGACAGACTCAGCCCAAGCCCCAACAGCCGAACCCCGCACACCCCCTCTGCCCGCCTTACCGGCGACTCGCCCTCCCCACGCCACTCCAGCCGGTTGGGGAAGAGGTAGAAGTAGCGGCGCTGCCACTGTGTCAGAAAGGGGTTGCCCAGCTTGGACATGTACCCGTGTACGATGCAGTCCTTGCCCATGGCGTAGTCTGGGGCCGCAGCAACGCAGGAGAAAGGCTCAGTGCCGAGCAGTGCCACCACTGTGCGGTGCCAGCAGAGACGCCAGGGACAGCACAGGGGGCACCCAGCCCCACTCACCCTCCTCGTGGCCCAGCTGCTTGTTCTTGGCTTTCTTGCGTGCCTCCTGCTTGTCTGTGTCTGCATTGACGGTGTCGAAGACGGTCTCGGTCACCTCCTGCTGCCAGCGCTCCGAGATGGTGAGCGGGAAGTTGCGGTACAGCTCCTGATCACTCTCCAGCAGCTGGTGGGGAGGTGGGGGTCAGGGCCTGCCCCGTGCTGACCCCCTGCTGCGTGCCAGCCCCCCAGCCTGCTACCTTGATGCCCTTTGTGTCCTCCTCATCAAAGGAGCCGATGTCAAAGGCATCAGCTGCATTCACCTCACCTCGGGGCGGGATGAGAGGTGGGGAGTACTGCGGGCAGGAGAGAGGCAGTGAGGGGGTGCCTGCCTGTGCCCTACAGCTGTGCCCTGTGCCCCTCTCACCTTCTGCAGGAACACCATCTGCCAGTCCAGGCCTTTGAAGAAGGGTTCGTCCTTCACCTCCTGAGCGCTGTGGGGCAATGCAGGGTGAATATGGCAGTGCTGCTGCCCATGGTGATGCCACCCCGTGGCCCCTTCCCCACAACTGCTGGGACTCACCCACGCCCCATGCAGCCCAGCCGCTGGTTGACGTCACGCTGAAGCAGCCCCTCAAGCAACGAGCGCAACTCAGGGGAGAAGGAGTCGGGCAGCTCGACAGCCTGCAGGCAAAGGTTTGGTTGCTCAGAGCCGCACAGGCATGCAAGAGCTGCAGTGCAGTGTCCCAAGGACCCCCAGCTCACCATGGTGAGGGTCATGCGATCGATCTCATGCTTGTCCTTTGTCTTGTGCTGCCGGAAAGGGCTGTGCCTGCGGCCACATGGACTGGGGCTCAGCCATGCCCCTGATGTCCAGACCCCCCCCAGCGCCCTCTGTGTGTGCACTCACCCACGGAGCAGCTTGAAGAGCATGCAGCCCAGTGAAAACCAGTCGGCGCTGCTGTCATATGCTACCCCCTTCTGCAGCACCTCCGGGGCCATGTAGCCGTGGGTGCCCCTGGGGGCACAGAGCTGGGTCAGGGCTGAGCCCAGGAGTCATAGGGAGCACTGGGGGGCAGGCACACTCACACGCTGGCGTGGGGTTTCTTCTTGGAGAAGTCACAGGCCAGGCCCAGGTCCGAGATACGGACGTGTCCAAACTCATCCAGGAGGATGTTTGCTGGCTGCCGGGACATGGAGCCACCCCTGAGCCCCAGCCTGGCCCATGGGCATGGGTGGCACCTGGGCTGGGGGTGCCTGTGCATGGTGGGATGGGTGCGACATAGGATGCAGGAGCGCCTGCAGGGACCCAGAGGTGCCCACGGTGCCTGGGGGCTTCCTGCTGGGTGTGGGGTGCCCACAGAACCTGGAAGATTGTGGGGCCTCTACATGCCCACACAGCAGGTGGGTGCTCATGGGGGACGGTCACCTTAAGGTCACGGTACACCACGAAACGACTGTGCATGTGCTCCAGGCCCAGGATGATCTCTGATGCATAGAAGCGCATCTCTGCCTCCGAGAAGACGCCGTGCTGGGACAGGTGATAGTGCAGGTCCCCCCCTGCAGCAACAGGCACCAGCAGTCACCCTGGGGATGGCATGGCAGGGTCCCAGGGGGCTGCAGTGCTGGGAATGGGGAGCAGCTAGTGGGCTCTCACCGTTCATTAGGTCAAGGATGAAGCTGAGCTTGTCAGGTGTGTGGAAAGCATACGACATGCCCACGATGAATGGGCAATCCTGGCCAGGGAGAAGATGTCATGCTGAGCCAGCGGTGCCTCAGCACTCTGCACCACCCCCTGCCCTGTGCCCTTATCCTCTCACCCCAGTGCTGACAAGGGACAACATGATGCGCTCGTTGAGGGCCAGCGTCTCACCCTGCTTCATCTTGATGCGCTTCTTGTCCAAGCACTTCATGGCATACCTGGGGGCAGAGAGTCCCTGTGGGGTCCTGCTGCTACCTGTATCCACCATGCCTGTCCTGCAGTGCCTGTGGCCAGCCAGCTCCTTCCCCCAACCATCACAATGTATCCCCCGGGAGGGTGGAGCCATGGCGACACTTTGGCATTCCTGCATGCCTATCATCATAGCAACACTGCTCATCCCCCTGCCCACAGAACCACAGTCTCACAAGCAGACCTCCCTGGCTCCATTACATTTTGCCTGTGTCCGCTTTCCGGCAGCCGTAGACTTCCCCAAAGCCACCGCGGCCGATGATGCGATGAACACTGAAGTCGTTCATGGTGAGCTAAAGTGGATCAGAAAGAGGGGATCACCCCATCGTAGCTACCCCCTGTGTGTCTGGGAGGGGTCCCATACCCAGCCTCAGTCCCCTGGAACTCCCCAAGGACCAAGACCCATATCCCCTCCCTGGCTGTATCCCAAGGAGGAAGGCCTCACATGGATGTTCAGCTCCACGTTCTTCCACTGGCAGAACCGTGTGAACTTGTCACTGAAAGGAAGCACAGAGAGGGTGAGAGTGAGGGACCCTGGGGAGACCTCTAAGATGCATGGCGGGGCAGACGGGATCCAGATGTGGACAGGACCCTCACGTGAGAACAGAGACCCCAGGCCAGAGCTGGGCATGACGTCAGCCCAAGTCTCTGGTGTGGAGACAGACAGCACCAGAGCTTCTCAGCAGGAGCCCTGCAGCACCCTGAGAGCCAGATCTCCCCAGGCTGTGCTCCTGTCTCACCTCTCAATGAACTTCTGGAAGATGCTCCCACGGAGGTTCTGGCAGATCTCCTCGATGTAGGGCTAGGGGTGACATGGGGGATAGCATTACATCCCCAGTACCACCCAGATCGGCCCCATTCCCTGCAGAAATTAGGTGGCATTTCTCATATCTCCACTGCCACCTTCTGCCATCCGAGGCCAGCTGTCTCTGGTGACCCCAGTACCACCATTCCCTCCATGTCATGGACAGTGCTTACCTGGAAGAGGTCTGGGGGCACCTGCTTCTTGCTCAGGCGGCTCTGCACATGCTCGGTGGCACTCTTGGAGAATGGCTGCGGGGCAGAACACCACATCTCCATGAGAAGGTGGGATGGGGACACGGTGGTGGAATCCCCTGTGGTGTGGCATGATGAGGCATGGCACTCACGTGGGAGCAGGCCAGCAGCTCCTTCATGATGTAATGGTCAAAGATGTGGCGGCTCTGAGTGGCTCGCTCCTCTTCCGAGTCCAGCTTCTCATACTTCTTGATCTGCCAAGGACATAGATTGCGTGGTGAAGGGGCACGGCTCCAAAAAAGGGCACACACAGTGTACAGTGGGGGACCACATCTCATGGGCACCTGTGGATATCAGAACCCCGGGCACTGAGGGCATCACCTCTGGGCATCCGGGGCATCGTCTCCCCGGGCACATCACGGGACACCCCAGCCCCAGCACCCCATCGCACCTCTTCGTAGAACTCCATCAGGGGCTTGGCCTCCTCAGCCTGGTTGAGGGCGAAGTCCCGGAACAGCAGGTACCCTGAGGTAGAGGCAGCGCTGCAGGTGGTGGCGGCGCCATGGCGCGGCACCCAGGCCGAGGGACGCAGTGCCACACGGCAAGGGCGCGGCAGACTGAGGAGGACTATGGGGCTGCCATGAGGCGGAGGTGCCGGAAACCACCAGAGCCGCGGGAAGGAAGCAAGAGGCGCTTCCTGCCCAGGACAGTTAGCGCTAGGGGAAGCAACAGGGCGGGGAAGACGGGGGGGAGAACACCACCCAGCACCTCTGCAGCCCCACAGCTCCCCCACAGCCCCCACTCACCGATCTTCTGCGCAAAGATCTTGTCGAACGTCACCTCGCCCCGGTCCTCCAGATACTTCTGCATGACGCTGCGGATGCTAGGGGGCAGCCGGGGGTCAGCGTTGGCCCGTGGTCCCCCTCCGCATCCCTATGCGTCCCGACAGTGTCTGAGGCGCCAGAGGGTCCGAGACGGGGGCACGGTGGGGCTGAGGGTGCGGGGACAGCAGGGCCCGGCCCGGCGGCCCCGGCCCGACGCCACTCACCTGGGCTCCGGCAGCAGGATCCGTTTGCTGGCGCGGGCGGCGGGCGCGGCCCGGCTCTTCTCCATGGCCATCAGGTAGCTCACGTCGGCCAGCACAGCTTCTAGGTCCGCCATCTTGCGCGGGGCCGAGGCCGGCACCGGCCCGACCCCAGCAGCGACCCGGAAGCGGAAGTAGCCGCAACCGGAAGTGCGTTGGGCCGGGCCCGAGGCGTGCGGGAAGGGAGGGGGCGAGGGTCCGCGCGGCCCGGAGGGAGGTGTGCCGCCCCCCCCCCGCCCCCAGCCGCGGGGCTGAGCTCAGACGCTGCGTTCGCTGTCTTTGTTTTCCTCAACTTTTTTAATCCCGAAAATCCACCCCGAGGAACAGAAGAGTTCCGGGAGGCCCTCCCAGCCCCTCTCGCCTATCACCGTAGTAATGCCGTAGGAGCAGAGATCTCCAAAGCCACCTCTGGAGAACAACGGTGAAATAATAAACAAAAAACCAAATAAAAACAGACAAACGGCCCCGCCGCGTGCCCCCCCCCCCCCAAAGCCCCAACGCAGAGAGCGCACGCTATGGTTTGCTTTAACCCTTAATGCTTACATTTAATTTTAAAGCACAAACATCAGAGATGGACTCTAAATTGCCAACAAAAAATATATATTTACAATATTTCTCCGAGGGGGAGAAGGGAGGGGAGGTCGAAACAGAACAAAAACACAACCAAACCCTTAAACAATAGGAACTGTTCTTGCGGGAGGTGGCCGGGAGCAGTCCGGGTGCTTTAAATCACTGAGTGATTTCACATATAGAACTCTCTCTTTGCTTACTGGTAGATCGCCTGTCCCTGCGGGGCTGGGGGGGGAGGGAGGGGAAGGAGGGGATGGAGGGAGGTCCCGCACCGCTCCCCGTGCCTCTGTCCTTCTGGTGGCAAAAAAACTCAAATAAAAAACAACAAATGAACCCAAGGAAGAAAGAAAAACGTTGATTCTTCCGCCGCCTTACGCAGCGATCACCACCAGGACAGAGGTGGGGGGCTCTGCTCCCCCCACTCACAGCACCCCCGCAGCCTCCTCTCCTCCCTTATTGCTTCTGGGGCCCCAGGGGCACACGGGGCTGCGCTGTGCCACGCACCGGGGAGAGGAGCAGCAGCCGGGCAGGGGCAGGGAGGGAAACAAAAGAGTGACCCAAAAGATACCAGCCTTTTTTTTTTTTTTTTTCTCTCCTTCTTTTTTCCTCACATCTTGATTTTTTTTTTTCCGATTTTTTTTTTGTTAATTTTTTTTTGCTTTTTTTTTTTTTTTTTTCTTAAAGTGCAAAAAGCTCTCTGCTGCCCTAGAGAGAGGTTCTTTGGACCAACCGCTCATTGCAAAGGAAAAAACGGCAGCTAAAATGGGGCGGGGGGAGAGGAGAGGACAAGGCAGCAGGACAGTCCTGCCACACAAATCTCAGCACTTGGCAGTACTGGGCCTTGGCAGGCAGCTGGGGAGGGAGAAGCAGCAGTTCCTGCTCCCCCTGTGCTCACTCACCCTTGGCTGATTATTCGAGTCCTCCCTGAGCTCTGGGGGCTGCTCCCCTAGCCTAGCCTTGCACAGGGCTCTGAGGAAGCCCCAGGGTGGAAGCTCCATCCCCAACCTTGCCGCCATGCCCAGGCTGTAGGGCTCCTGCCCTCACCCTCACTGCGGGGGAAGAAGGGGATCCGAGGGCCAGGTGAGGGGGCTTAGAGCAGGGCTCAAGCTGGTGGTGGCACCGAGAGAGAGGGTCCGTCCCAGCTCTGCTCCCTCCTCCTTGGAGAGGCCTCAAGCTTTGTGCTAATGGAGAAGTGACAAGTGTTTCAAGGCAAGGAGCTGGGGAAAAGCAGGGGGAAGAGGGTGCGCCCCATTTCTCCACCCAGGGATGTCTGCAACAACCTCCGCCTTGGGAGCTCCCTGCTGCGGGCACGGTCCTCCTCTCGTACTGGCCAGCCGGGGGAATGCCCACATCGGCACAAGTCCCAGCGGTAGGAGGAGGAAGGACAGCTGAGCAAGGCCAGTACCGGCCCTGCCCACGAGGAGGCAGGGGCAGGACATCGAGGGCAATGTGGGAAGGCGGAGGAGTGGCTCTCTGAGAGGGGTGGGCTTTTTTTCCTTCTCCTCAGCCTGCCCGGGGGAGGGTCTCTAGCTGATCTTTTGGATCAGCTTCTCATCGGACAGGCAATAGAGGCTGTTGATGGACAGATCTGAGATGAAGTGCTCACAGGCTTTGCGAGTGATCTGCTTGCAACCTCGCAGGTCAATGAGAGTGACGTTGGAGATGCGGCGCAGGTACAGCAAGGCCTGGTCTGTCAGCTTATTGCAGCCTGCAGGGAGACGAGAGAAAGGTTGAGCTGCAGTGCCAGCACTGAGCAGAGGAACAAATCGCTGTGTGCCAGTAAGACCGGCAGCACCCACCTGCCATGTTGAGCTCAGTGAGGGAGTTGCGTGTGGAAGAGCCCACAGCCGTGAGGAGGTTGGCAGACTGGTCTGTAAGGTGGTTGCAGTGGCTGAGGTCAAGGCGGGAGAGCAGGGGCATGTGGCGGATGATCAGCCGCAGCGTGGCGTCAGTGATGTCCAGGCCAGCAAGCCGGAAATCAATCATGTTGCGGAGTTTGCTGCGATTGTCCTGACCTGCAGAGGAAGGGGAAAAGCAGAGGTCAGACACATGGTGCTGTGCCGGTCCAGATCCACTGACACCTCCTGCCCTGTGCCTGGCTCAGTCATCCTGGCCACGTGGCAGCTGCTTACTGGGTTTATCTGTTGGAGGTGTGAGCAAGTCCCGGATCTGAGGGTCCTTGATTCCTACTGCCCACCGAAGATCAAGGGTCCTGAGAAGGGGGCAGCTGGAGGTACTGAGAGCGCAGACTGCAGACCAGGAACAGCCTGCTAAGATGAGGTCTTTCAGGCCTGCCGGGGAAAAAAAAAAGAGAGATGTAACATGCCAGCTGGGCTTGGCCAGCTCTGTGGCATCGCAGGTCTCACCCAAGTGCAGAAGCTTCTCTCCCTGCCTGAGGTGGGACATAGAGCAAGGCTCCATTCTGAGAAGAGCTGCAGGAAACCATGACAGCAGCTCCCCAAGCAAAGGGACACACGCACTCAGGAGTCTTACTGCAGGCAGGTACCCCTCTTGCTATGCTTCAGCCACTGGGGAGCTGTGGAGCAGGCTGGCAGCAGGAGACCAGTGCCCAGCCCACACTCACCTGGCAGTCTGTTGACAAGCCACGTGAGCTGCTTTTTGGAGATGTTGGTCCAGCTGAGGTCAAGGCTGACAGGCTGTCTTTTGATGATACCACTCAGTGCCTGGGGGGTGATGGACTTGCACCTGCTCAAATCTATCTTTGTCCACAGTCTCTTGTCACAGCACCTGGGGGATGAGGATAAGGGTGGAAGCTGAGTGCTGAGGGTGTCAGGGACAAGAGGCAGCCATGCTGGGAGGACCCCAGCCCTGGCGCAGCTCCAGCCATAGGACAAAGCCACTCCTTCAAGTTGGTTGGGGTTTCCCAGACATGGGAGGATGCTGGAGGTACCTGGCCACTTAGGATACTCAGAATAGCCCCTGCAGAAATTTGCTGCCACGTAACAGAACTGCATGGCAACTGCCAGCCTGCTTGCTCCCCAGATATGGCAAAGATTTTCAGCATTCCTGCTCCCAGCAGGCAAAATGCTCCACCTAGTTCCATCCCACAGCCATAGTAGTGCTTTCTGCATCACCAGGAGCTGTTATGGAGCCTGGAGGTGGAGTGAATCCCTCCTCTGCCATAGGAGCCGGGGACCTGATGCTGCCCTGCCCCCAGAGCAGCCATGCCAGGGTCCCCTACAGCCTGCCAAGCCCAATGCCTGCTGATTAAAGCATGCCAGCCCTTCCCTGCTGTGCCATTCCCACTGCTTGGCGTCTAGAAACCCAGTTCCCCATCCTTGTCTGTTCCCAGCTCTCCATCCACAGCTGTCCTGCTGCCAGCATTGTCTTCAGACAGCGCCCCCTAAGGCATTCCCAGGCAGCAAACCCCTCCTCACGCAACTTATGCTCTGGGGCCAGGAAGGGCAAGGGCTGCACGGGGCAGCAGGTGAGGGAAGGGCACCAGCATCTCACAGGGACACGGTGTGAGATTTGAGATTTGAGTTACACCGTGTGATCATCTCCTAGCAGAGGGGACAGTCAAGCACAGACGGAAGAGGCAGCGGGGTGATGCTGCCTCAAAAACGCCAGTGCTGGGGAGAGGAGGAAGGCACAGATAGGTTAGAGGGTGAATGATCCTTTGCCCCTTTCCCTCTTAGCTGCCCATCAGGCCCCAGGCTCTGCAGACCAGGATACAAGTGGTCCTGGCAGCACTGCCTGTTCCCATACTTACCACTTGTACCAGGTCTTGCACACCCGCATGCACTCGCAGAGCTCCCTGCGGGTGAGGTAGCGGAAGACAGACATCCACACCTCGCGCTGCATCCAGCTCTCCTCACCCTCCTGCACCCGGCCCCCTCTGCCGTTGAGGCGGGCAGCCCCTCCCTCCTCCATGTTCTCATCATCTTCATCCTCCTCCTCCTCGTCCTCCTCAGCAGCCGCCTCATCCTCCCCCCCACCCCGCGGGTGCATCCGGGCAGGTGTGTGGCGCATCACCACGCGGGGAGAGTGCTGCAAGTTGGCAGAGGAGGCGGTGATGGCTTGCAGCTTGGGGACAATGGAAGTGCCATGAACATCTTTGGTGGGGCGCTGGAGCGTCACGGTGAGGTAGGAGCCATGCAGCTTAGCCTTCTCCACTTCTGACAGCTCCTTCTTGCCACTGGGGTTGTTCTCTTTCTCCCGCACAATGGTTCGCTCAGTGGCCTGGAGCCGCAGAAGCTGGCGCCGCTTGAACCGCTCATCCCTGCTGGCACTGTGGTGCTCGCTGGGACCGGCGCCTGGGGACGAGCGCGTTACCACACCTCGCGGTGACACTGGGTCGTGGATCAGCTGTAGCATGGGGGTGGGCGAGTTGGGTGGCGGGGTCAGGGGCTCCTCGCAGCTCCGCAGGGGCCGCAGCACCTTGGCTTGTGCCATGTCATCGTCGCTCTCTTCTACCTTGCGCTTCTGCAGGGAGGCAGGATGGCAGGTTAGCAGGGGTGGGGGAACGCGCTCCTCTTATCCCTCATGGTTGTCATGCACCACACTCACAGCAAAAAAATTGGCATTTCCTTCTCCTCTTGCAGAATAGTGTCCCCTG